GATCAAGAATCTAAGTGTAAAATATGAAACCATACAACTATTGGAAGAAAACATGATTGAACTGCTCTTTTTTTTAGGGATATTAGCCCTGAGCTAACTGCTGTCAATCCTCCTCTTGTCGCTGAGGAAGACTGGCCCTGAGCTAACATCTGCCAATCCTCCTCTTTTTGCTGAGGAAGACTGGCCCTGAGCTAACATCCATGCCCATCTTCCTCTACTTTATATGTGGGACACCTACCACAGCATGGTGTGCCAAGCGGTGCCATGTCCACACCCAGGATCCAAACTGGCTAACTCTGGGCCACCGAAGCAGAACGTGCGCACTCAACTGCTGCACCACCAGGCCGGCCCCTGAACTCCTTTTTAATTTCATTGCTGGGAAAGGTTTTCTAACTATGACTCAACATCCAAAGGCAACAAAAGAATAAATTTGACTACATAAAAAAACAGTATACAAAAATACTATAAACAAAATCAAAAGACAGTTGACACACTTGGAGAAAATATTTGCAAAATACATCACAAATAAAAGTCTAAGCTTCCTAACACATAAAAAAAACTCTTAAAAATTGAGGAACATATCCAATAGAAAAATGGAAAAGAGACATGAACAGACAATACACAAGAAAGACATATATATATATATATATATATATATATATATATTTAAACACATAAGAAGATTCAAATTAACTCATAAATAGAGAGATCATTTAAAGAGACCCTTTACATCCAAGTCTGGGACCATTTGAGCAACAAAACAATAATAGTGATGGATTATAACCCATAGAATAAAACAAATATCCATGAGCCCATACTGATAAGTAATTGAAGAAATAAATTGAACGAATGAATTAGGAGAAGAGAGAAAGATTTTCCTTAGAGAAATCCAATTAATAAATGTAGAAGGAATGACAGAGACAGAAAACCCCTATTTGACAAATATCATGGTAGTAATTGTTGCAGGCAAGAAAGAATTATGAGATGCAGGAAATTTACATAGTCTCAAAGAATCTCCCCACAAGATACTCTTCTTCATTACAAAGAGAAAGGCAGTAATTTTACAGTGGAGAAGTCCAGGAAATACCATTTGATAGACAATGATTGAGGTTAACATCACCAGTGAGACATATTGGTATCATGTGCCTTCAAATATAATACACTGAGAAGAATATAACATTACTTCTGTGATATTCTTGCCAAAATGCACAACCTGAATTTAATCAGGAGAAACATCAGACACATCCAAATTGAGGTATGCCTATAAAACAGCTGGCCAGTACTCTTCAAAAGTTTCAAGGTCATAAAAGACAAAGGACTGAAGATGGAAGACAAAGACTAAGGAGCTATCCAGATTAAAGGGAGAAGACAATTAAATGTAATCTGCAATCCTGGATTGGCTTTTGGCCCAGAGAAGGGACATTAGAGGGACAATTGATGAAATTTGAATCAAGGCTGCAGATTAGTTGATAGTATGTCAATTTCCTGGTTTTGATAATTATACTGTGATTATGGAACATATTAACAGTTGGGGAAGCTGGGTGAGGAAAATTCTTTGCACTATTTTTGCAATTTTTTTTAATAAGGTTGAAATGATTTCAAAATGAGAAAAAAATAGAACTTGTCCACTCAAATAATTATTGTCTTTCAAAGTACTGTCTCTGAAATGTTAGGTATTTATTGTAAAGTTGTGACAGTTTTTGATCTTCTCTTTTGAAAATGCTATCAGTATCAGTTTATTTTTTTATTTTGTTTTATTTTTTTGAGGAAGATTAGCCCTGAGCTAAAATTTGCTGCCAATCCTCCTCTTTTTGCTGAGGAAGACTGGCCCTGAGCTAACATCCATGCCCACCTTCCTCTACTTTATATGTGGGACACCTGCCACAGCATAGCTTGACAAGCGATGCCATGTCTGCACCTGGGATCCAAACTGGTGAACCCCAGGCTGCCGAAACACAATGTGCGAACTTAACTGCTGCACCACTGAGCTGGCTCCAGTATCAGTTTAATATGACAAAAGAAAAGTAGTTTCTTGCAATACTAAAAAAAACTGTATGGAAAATTTCAAATACACAAAAGTAGAGAGTAAACCCTATGTTCTCAATATGAACCCTTATGTACCCCAAACTCAATTTTAGCAATTAGTATCCTCCCCATATTTACAGTATTTACTTATTTGGGTCCTTTTTCCTGGAATAATTCAAAGCAAATCCCAGATGTGTCATTTCATGGTAAAGACATTTTTCTTTTTTTTTTAATTGAGTGCATAATAGTTTACATCAATATGAGATTTCAGTTGTACATTATTTCTTGACTGTCACCACATAAGTGCTCCCCTTCACCCCCTGGGCCCACCCCCACCCCCCTTTCCCTGGTAACCACTGAACTGTTTTCTTTGTCCATGTGTTTGTTCATATTCTACATATAAGTGAAATCATGTGGTGTTTGTCTTTCTCAGTCTGGCTTATCTCACTTAGCATAATTCCCTCCAGGTCCTTCCACGTTGTTGCAAATGGAATGAATTTGTCTTTTTTTATGAGTAATATTCCATTGTATATATATACTGCATCTTCTTTATCCAATCATCAGTCCATGGGCACTTGGATTATTTCCATGTCTTGGCTATTGTGAATAGTGCTGCAACGAACATATGGGTGCGTATGTTACTTTGGATTGTCGATTTCAAGTTGTTCAGGTAGATACCCAGTAGCAGGATAGCTGGGTCATATGGTATTTCTACTTTTAGTTTTTTGAGGAATCTCCATAGTGGTTGCACCAGTTTGCATTCCCACCCGCAGTGTATGAGGGTTCCCTTTTCTCCACAATGTCTCCAACATTTGTTATTTTTAGTCTTGGTGATTATAGCCATTTTAACAGGCATTAGGTGGTATTTTAGTGTAGTTTTGATTTGCATTTCCCTGATGATTAGTGATGTTGAATATCTTTTCATGTGTTTATCAGCCATCTGTACATCTTCTTTGGAAAAATGTCTGTTCATGTCCTCTGCCCATGTTTTGATCGGGCTGTTTGTTTTTTTATTGTTCAGTTGTGTGAGTTCCTTATTTATTATGGAGATTAACCCCTTGTCAGATATATGATTTGCAAATATTTAATCCCAATTGGTGGATTATCTTTTTGTTTTGATTCTAGTTTCTTTTGCCTTGCAGAAGCTCTTTAGTCTGATGAACTCCCACTTGTTTTTCTTTTGTTTCCCTTGTCTGAGAAGACATGGTATTCGAAAAGATCCTTTTTAGTTTGATGTCAAAGAGTGTACTACCTATATTATCTTCCAGGAATTTTATGGTTTCAGGACTTATCTTCAAGTCTTTGATCCATTTTGAGTTTATTTTTGTGTATGGCATGAGATAATGGTCTACCTTCATTCTTTTGCATGTGGCTGTCCAGTTTTCCCAACATCATTTATTGAAGAGATTATCTTTTCTCCAAGGACTTTTTTCTTTAATCATATCCACCATACCATTATCACAGCTAATAAAATTAATTCCTTAATACCATCAAATTCCCAGTCCTTATTCAAATTTTGCTGTTCCAAACAGTTAATTTTAATCAAGATTATGAGGTACATATTTATGTCTCTTAAGACTCTTTTAGTCTTTAATAGTCCACCTTTCCTCCTACACTATTATTTTTAAATTTATTTAATCTGTTGGGGGAAATTAGGTTATTTGTCCTGTGGCAGCTGATTACTACCTCTTAGTGTTTTTGTTTCTTTCTTGACTTATTTTTCTATTCTCTGTATTTCCTGTAAACTGCTGGTTAGATCCAAGGCTTAATTAGATCTGAGTTCAATTTGGAGAGATCACAAATACTTCATAGAAAGCAATGTGTAGTTACCATTGCATCACATCAAGAGGTATGTCATGTCTGGTTGTCTCACTTTTAGCAGTGCTAAGATTGATTGGGAGGTTCAAATGGTATCAGCCTTATTGCTTCATTATAAAATTCAACATTTTTTTAAAAAGTAGAAGTTATCGTGGCTGGGTGGTGGCCTAGTGGTTAAATTTGGATCACTCTGGCTTGGTTCCATGGTGCAGACCTACAACAACTCATTTGCAGCCATGCTGTGGCAGAAACCCACATACAAAATAGGGGAAGACTGGCACAGATGCTAGCTCAAGGAGAATCTTCCTTAGCCAAAAAAAATGAAAAATAAAAGCAACCAGGGGAAAGTAAAGTTGAACACTTAAAAATAAATAAATAAAAATAAAAGCAGATGTTATACATGTTTAGCTTTATCAATAGCAAACACAATTAAATCTTGAAACCCTGCCCAGGTGTAGCAGTCTTCATAATAATGTTCAATCAACTTTCCTAGCATTGAACGTGGTGGAAGGTCCATGTGAACGCTTTTATCCAAAGTATTATGGGAAAAAAATTTTTATGAGGAAACTAATCTTAAAAGCGTCAAAAAACAAATAAAGCTCAAAGTCACCTCAGAAATTACTACCATGATTGGGAACCAAGTGGGTAGATTTGGGAGGTCTTGTCTACAAAACTAAAAGGAAATATCTAAGTCAAAAAAGAGGAGAGGAGAGGGGCTGGCCCCGTGGCCGAGTGGTTAAGTTCGCGTGCTCCGCTGCAGGCGGCCCAGTGTTTCGTTGGTTCGAATCCTGGACGCGGACATGGCACTGCTCATCAGACCACGCTGAGGCAGCGTCCCACATGCCACAACTAGAAGGACCCACAACGAAGAATATACAACTATGTACCGGGGGGCTTTGGGGAGAAAAAGGAAAAAATAAAATCTTTAAAAAAAGAAAAAAAAAAGGAGAGGAGAGCTAAGCATTATAACAAAAATAAAATTGACAGTTGTCTCTGGGAGGAGGGACGCTGGGAGGAGTGAGGCAAGGAACTGTGACTTTTCATTACAACCCCATCTGTGCATGTATTACTTCGATAACATTACGAGGGGCAAATGTTGAAGAAAAGTAGTAAGATTGCTGAAAACATCCCAAAATAAAAGCCTATTCATTACATACACGTTTGCAGTTTTTTTCTGTTCCCTCAGAATCCACTTGGAAAATATTAAGGGGACCGAGGTCAATAAAACCTCATCTGGTGACTGAAAATCTTCGAAACGACTGACGCGTTACATACGAGTCTGAAGTTTGGAGGTTACGGCCGCGGATTTGGTTGCAAGATGAAGAGGCTGGAAGCACTCGCCACCCCCAGGGCTCGGCCAGGACCTCCACAAAGCCTCGCGGAAGGCGGGGCCTCGTGACGTCACAGAGACGCCCGCCCCCTTACGTCGCGCTCTAGGGAGGCCGGAACGTTTCTGGCGGCACCGGCGCCATTTTGCCCGAGCTTGCGACCGAGTGGGAGTGGAGCGAGGAGGCTGTTGTTGCCGACTCTTTCCTCCTCCCCACGGTCCAGTCAGCAGGTTGATTAGGCCATAGGCCCTCGAGCCGAGACTTGTCTCTTATTAGTTCTGGGGAGCGCCTGGCCGACATGAGTGATGTAGAGGAGAACAACTTCGAGGGCAGAGTGAGTACAAAGCCGCGGGAGCCGTCTTCGGCGGCGGCCCGATGCTCGGGGTTTCACGGGGACAGGCGCGGTCGGGCGGGGTTGTGGGGAGTCCGGCGGGTGCCCGTGGAGAGCAGCCTCTGGAGCCATCGCGGTGGCTTCCTCACATCCCAAGATGGCTTCTGGGTTCCACTTCTTGCCCAAACACCACGAATAACCCCCTCCCCCCTTTTTTGGCGACTGACTGATACCTGGACTCCTGGGTCCGATTGAGTTCCCCCCGCAGTGCGCCCTCCCTTCTCCCACCCCTGAGGCTTCCTTATCTCTGTTCCGAGGTGTGGGTCCCCGTCGCGGTGGGGCGGGAGGAGACGGCAGGGAGTTCCCCTCCGGCCGGATAGTGGTAGGTGCTTCCTGCGGTGGCATTTCTGGCGACCCCGAGCATCGTAGAGGGTCTCGGGGTCGCAAGTGCGCGGGGCTGTCGTCCGGGCGGGGAGAAGCTGGCGTGGGACTAGCTGGGGCCTGTGTCTCCTTGGCTCTCTATTGCAGTGAGCGGCCGCGTCTCTGTTGGAACCGGCGGCGTTGCGTCTATAAAGGCGAAAGCCTTGAGGTTGAAGGTGGGACGAGCCTAATGAAGTGGTTAGTCAACGACCGCACCGACCCTTAAGCGTTCTTAAGACGAGAGCTGTGAGGGGAAAACTACGCGAGGAGCCCTTTTCCCTTAATGTCCCTTCTACTTTGCTTTCACTTCAGAATGAATGTGGAAATGCTATAACGCCTTATTTTTCTAACTCCTTGATGTTGGGTGTTTTTTTTCTATTCTTTATATCTCAACTTCTGATGCTTTTCTTCCTATGACCTTTCGTCTAAAAACTGACCACTCCTTTACAGGTTTTTACGGTAAAAAAAAAAAAAAAAAAAAGGGCCTCTTCTGTCTTAATTTTACATAACTGAAGAAATATCATGGCTAGTGTTCTTTAAATAGCTAGTCAGTTTATACTGTCACTCAGAACGGTACCTGAAAAGTACAGGTCCTCTCCCATTTGTCTTCTTAACCCACCTCCCAGCAAAGAGGGCTCAGAGGTTTTCATTATTTGGGATCGATGAATATAAATAGCACGAAGATACGTTATCCTCAGCTTAAATGTACTAGAACTTTTATCAGTGTTTGAGTTGTGTTTGCAAAGGTACCCTCGTAGTGGAAATCGGTGGAAGTGAGTTAGTGTGAAACCCTGAAAAGCAAACAAAATCCCCAGGCAGCATGTTCTGGCTGTTGTGTTGGTGTTCTAGTCACTAGGGGAAACGCATAAAAAAACACTTAAGATGTGTGCTGGAGGGAATGAATTTGTCTTTTTTAGAAGCTCATAATATAAACACCTGGAACCAGACAGCTATAAATCAAAACGTCGGTTTAGGCTTTTGTTCTTTTTTGAGGAAAGAGATTTAAATGCGTTAGAAACAAAAAGCTACCTTTAATGCCTTTAAGATTGGTCTTTTAAAAATAAAATCTGGACCATAGATATAAATGAGTAGTTGAATCTGCTCGTTTTTTAGGATGGAGTGTTATTGTCCCAAAAAGCTTCTTAAAATCACATCATAAAAATATCGGTGGTTGTTGTAAGCTGCTGCTTATTTTGAAAATGAACTTGAGTTAAGGAAGGAATTTTGCTATTAATCTTTCCCTCGATTAATTTTAGTACAGACTTTTTTGGTTAATATTTGTTTTGATTTATGGGGAAGTGAAGAGGCCTATTTGGGGACCTGGTTTTCCTTTAAGTTCTTATTTTTTATTAGTCCTTAAGTTGAGGAATGGAGCAAGTTCTGGATAATCACCTTACCCACCTAGAAAAATAATACATGTAAGATTCTCACCCAGTTTTAAGCTAAAATGTGTGTAAGCATTAACAATTTACTTTAATAGAAAAAAGGTTTTTACCTTTTCCCTCTCTTAGAGTGTTTATGGTCATAGAAAATATTTTTTTAACACGTGATACCCAAACATATTTCAGCGTGAATGAACTCGGTAGATTAATGAATATGGTCACGCTCACCTGTTAGATTTTTTGTTGTTGAGGTAATTGTCTTTATTTGTAATTGGTTAAAGAATTAGAAGAATGCCAGAAGCTTTTCTGAGGGTCTGCTTTTTTTATTATTGTTTCTTAAAGCAATTTACTATTCACTAGAGCTTTTGGTTTTTAAACTACAGTGACCTTTTATCTGCTAATCACAAACCAGCAGTTTAAAAAGCTTTTATAGAATACAATTGTTGTGTTCTTATCTTTGTATTTCAATGTAATAACTTTTTAGAGAGACTCAAAAAGATTTTCAAATGATGTTTTTGAGAGGTTTAAGTAGTTATACTTGAAAGTTTTAACTAAAATTAGAGAAAACATTGACAGGTCAGTATTCAGATTTCATTTGCTTTATCTACAAAATAAACAAGGCAGTTATTAACCCCATCTTACTGAAAAGATATATAGAATTAGAGGGTAACTTTCTAGAGATTGCAGAATACATTAAGGAAATAATACTAACAGTTTGTACTTTGATAGCATTTTAGAACCTCCCCCTGCCCTCTGTCTTTGACATATTTTCTCATTTATTGCTCAGAATAATCTTACAAGGGCAGGAGTACTCTTAACAATTTTAGAAACTAAAACCTGAGGCCCAGAAGACTGAGCAGTTGGGAACCCGAGATTTCTAAGGTCCAGTCCATTGCTCATTGCCTTGATACACTATGCTGTATATATTTTGATTAAGTTTTTTAAAAAGAGCACGCTTTACATTGGTGTCTCTGAGCCATTAACGAAGTTTGCTAAAAACAGTTACAGGAGCTTAATTTTCCATTACAGATTAATGTCTCTTCCGTTTTAAAGGACTGGAATAAAAGAACTTTAGGAAAGAAAATATAATTGGCTGAATTTCGTTATAAGTGACCCCAATAGTTAATCAACCAAAATTCCCTTCTGCCTGAAGTGAAACTGTTGAGCACCTGCTGCCTTCTTAGTAAAGGCCAGGTGTTCTTGAGGGGAAGAAAACTTGGAGTCTAATTTGAGATGACTGACAGCTCAAATCTGGGTAAAAGTAAGTATATAATCAAGTGCTATGTGATAGAATTAATAAGGAATTCAGAAAATGGAGCTGAGCAGTTTTGTGAGGGGAATGGGAACGCTTTAACTAGGATGTAAAACTTGAACTGGATCTGATGATTAGGGAAATGAATATTCGTGTGAGTGTGACAATGAGGAGGTTGCTGGAATAGTGAGAGAGATTTGACTAAATATACAGTCAGATAATGGAGGGTTTTGAATTCTAGATTTAGGAATTTGGACTTAATCCAATATGCAGTAAGGTACCATCTATGAATTCTTAATTCTGGGAGTAGCATAATGAAGGGAATTTTACAAAGAACAGAGACTTGGATAGGAAGAGCAACATGGTACATCTGAAATATTTAAGAAAGGAAATTATGAACAATTTGGTCTAAACTGGACAGCAGTGGGATGTAAGAAATGAGTTAGACATTTTTAAGGAATCCGGGAGAATAGTGGTATCATTAAAATAAATAGGTCCATAAAAGCAATTTGCTTGGGATACGTATATAGTTAGAAATGTAGATAGAAATATTTTTTAAGTGGAAATGTCTTTTGGAGCTGGGAGTGAGGTTAGCACTTGAGCTATGACTTTGCGTGTCATTTTCATAAAAGGAATGAGTTGTTTGCTTCACACAGCTTAAAGTAATACTAGGATTTCGATCTCAGAAAATTTTAGTGTCCTTTATAGAAATTAAGGATAATGGAAATTAAGCTTTTATCATTTTACTTATTTTGTTCCCCTTCTACCCCTAATTTTTTAAAAAATGAAACTAGAAAAACATTGAGTCCAATTTTTTCTTACACAGTGGCCCAGTGTTTTTAATGGAGGTTAGTGATTTGTTTATTGCGTAGGAGTCCATCTTATGATTCCACAGTTGTCTATGCTTTGTAGTGCAGTTGAAGAGAAAGATGCTACTTATTCTTGCCTCCTTTTCAGAGCTTGTTTTGGCTTCTTAAGTAGCTGGAATATTTTTAAGAGACTACTACTGTTCCCCTTAATGTACAAGATGATTGGATGATAAAAGTGAAGAGGAAAGTGCAAATTCACCTGTATCAATTTTGAATTAAAATTTGTGTGTGTTAAGATATTTTGTTCAAGAATGGCTGAAATAGGTGAAGGCTTCTTTCTTCTCTGAAACATGATTTGTAATAATAGGGGTGAGGACTACACTGTTCAAAACTCAGCTTGGTGACTGGCTTTTTTAAAGAGCCCTTAAACTAGGCTTAAAAAATTTTTGTTGATGGAATTTTAAAATTGTAAATGTGAGGGTACTGATGAGGTTTACCCTCTGCCCTCTCTTTTTTTTTTTTTTTAAAGAATACAAATAAAATTGAATCCTTGTTTTACAGATAAGAATGTCAGCACTCAAGCTTTTACAAAACTTAGTTCAGCTTCAGCAATTTAATTTCATATATCTCATCACATCAACCTGTTACAGAAGAATAAGGCTTCCTTTCTTATGGTAGGGGTAGTATTAAACCCGAGAGTCTTGTTTGTCTTGGGTTTGATTTATTTACCTGAAGTTAAGTACTATCATTTATCCAATTTTAGTGCTTTTTTATTCCACTCCGTCATTTAAGCAAAGAATCTATAAACTTAAGGAAATATTTTAGTGTTCAACTTTTTATGTTTGAGATTCTTTCACTGAAGGGTGCTAATTTGTCAATATATAGAAGGCAGGATTTTAAAAATGAGCAGTGCAACTAATTGTACCCACAGTGCATAACTGTAGTTTTACAGATTTGTCATAGATGCTGCTTACGATTTATACCATTCCTAAAATGAGAATAAAGAGTCTTGGAATCTGAAAGAATGCCAAGGGATTTAAATATTTAGGAGTAAGAGTCATTAAAAACTACAAATAAGCTTTGTCTCTATGGACTTTATTTTGTAAATGAACTGAAGTTATTTACCTGTGGAATAATGTGTAGTATAACAAGTGTGAAATGGCCATGAATAACCAGCATAATAGTTTTCTAGAACTTACCTGATGGTGTGGAAACCTTCTCTTTGATAGTATCAGTGGATGGGCAGACATTAAATAACTAACTCTGAGACCTTTGTAAAAGGTATATACGCACATGCTAAGTGAATTAATACTGATTGTTATTTATTCATATGTCATAACAGATTTAGCAGGACAGAAGTGGAGGTGAGAAAATGGTAAAGATCAGATGAGGAGAGAGTCAGTAAGCACTGTTAAAAAAGGGGGAAAAAAGAGTTGAGGGGAATAATGAAAGGAATTGTGGTTTCCCTTCCCTCCATCAGTTTACTGCCATATATAGTTGTGTCTAATCCTTTTTGTCTCATGATTTTCACCAAAAGTATAAGTGACTAGGCGTACTGATCTGAAGTAGAAGACAAGATATGATTTTTCCTTTAAACTGAGGCCCTGTAGTCTTATTCAAGATTCATGAATACTCCCATGACATTAGAAGAGGAGAGCATAAATACAGAATTCTGTAACAGGTTCTTCGTAGTTTGTTTTTAGTTGCTATTTATGGGCTTTTAATATACCTAAACCACTTTAGTCCTTATAAACTTGTTTTCTGTGCCATTGAAATTGCCACTTATACACTAGCTTTTGGGACATTACAATTGACGATGACATAAACTAGCCAGTTTATGAGCCGTGTTTAAAATTTGTACAAAAGACTAAATTTTACAGTTAATTGCACAGTTGTGACATGACTTTAAATTTGATTATATGTGTGTAAGTGCCAATTCCTAAATAATTTCTTTATGTTAAGTATTCCCAAAATTATTCCAAGTTTTAGAGAATATAGAGACAAATACAGTGTTAGAATATCTGTGAGCCTTTCAGATACAAAGACCACTTTAATCTCACTCAGCAGGCAGCATACAGGTATGATCTTAAAAGAAGGGAAATTATTTAAAAACAGCTAATGTTATGAGCACTTGGTGTTTTCTTTTTAAGAAATTGCTCTGATAGCAGCTATGGGTTAAAAAGAGACTGGAAGTAATTCTTTTATAAGCTTAAGAGTCTGTAAAAGAAGTAGCCTATCATACTCAAGAGGAATGAGGCAGAACTGCTATTTCTGTAGGCTAAAATTAAAGAATTGAGTAAACACAGATTTCCCACAAGTCCTAAAGAATGAAGTTCTCAGTACAGTGAATATTATGTTATTTGGGTAATCTAAGTACACCCTCCATCTTTTGGACATATAGTTTACCTAAGTGCACTGATGTTTTCTGTAGAAGTACATCTCTAGTTTCATAAAGTAGTAGGAAAATATGTTTTGAGAAATTTTATTTTAAAAGCTTGCACCATATGCATATAGACTTGAATTTGTGTAAACTTGGCCCAATTACTTGGCATACAGTTTGCTTTGCCATAATGTTAGAATGGGTTACAGCATAGCATTTATATTGATTTATGTGTTTATTTTAATGGGTTTTAAGTACTAAGCATATATATTGTTGGAATTTTTTTTCTTCCACCGGTAATATACTAGCTGTGTTAAAAAACACTGCAGTTCTTGCTTACTGTAGGGATTGTTCATGTTCTGCAACAATGTGTGCATATATTTAATAACGCTTTTTCTTGATCAAAAGAATAGTACGTGTTCATTGTGGTTATTTACAGTTTGTAAAACACACCTATTTTAGCACAAAAGAAAGATGGTTCTTAGACTGCTTGTATTGGGTACACTGTAGTACTTTCTTAATATTCATAGTTAGCTCCCTCCTTTTTGTTTTTCTCTGTGTCCTTCAGCTACTACCAAAGGTACCTTGATAATGATAGAATAATTAAAAGAACAAACACACACCCTTTAAGCAGGTTGTACTGTGAGAACTTTCTGCATGGCTTCTGGCTTATAGTAGGTAAGGTAGATTGGGAGCAAATTTAAAATTTCTATTAAAATTTGTGATATGATTTGGTTGAGTCCTTAACCTGCCCATTTCAACTAGGCAGCATAGTTTTAATGGTTGTTGGATCCAGAAGCAGGTTACTGAGGAATTTGGCAGAATTTCTTGACTGGACAGCTTTAAGAGCAGGTTAAGTGTAGTCTAGTGAAACAGGACAGATACCACCCCTTCTCAGTATTTAATTTTTTTCTGTTTGCAATTTCAATTCACTTTCCAAATTCTGAATAGTTTTATGAGTTTCCTTGAAAAAAGTTGAAACAATCGTTTCATAAGGAAGACAAGTCAGGGGTAGAAAAGGATAATCTAGCATTTGTCCATAAAGGGCTTATTGTAGCCTGGTTTCTAATGCACAGTTTAGTGACGATAGTATGTATTTGGTACCAGCTTTTGAGAAATAAGTTACTTAAAAATGGTAAATATTAATATAACAGTTTTCTGTGTGTGAAGACTTTATTAACTACCGTTTCTTGTGATGAAAGGCCATTTTTTTTTATTACAGTAAAAATAATTCTGAAGAATTAAAAGTTTGTTTTATGCTTTGTAGTTTGTTCTTTAGGTTAAGGTTACTGACAGTTATTGATTTACCTTTTTAGTAAGTCTTTAAACTGTTTTTGGAGGTTAAAATGATAGTGACAGCTTTTTACTAGGAGTTAAAGAGGGAGTTAAGAGGACTGTTTCTTAACCTTGGATGATTCCATGAAGAAATTTATGCAGATTTAGGTATCCCTGATAAAAACATTGAAAGGTAGGCAACAAAGGAGATGAGGTATTTGTGACACCTGGCATAATAAAAAGCAAGCCTTCTTGAACAATATGTTGATGTCTTTAGAAAAGATACCCTGTCGTATCTTAATGCTTTAACAAACTAGAAAGTTGCATTTTTTCCCATTGAGTTGCTATGCCAGAACTGGCTTTAAAATTTAAATTTTAAGATGTTACTGAGTTACCTTGTTTACATTAATTCCTAAGAAGTGGTGAGTTTTTTTTAGCGCTATTGAATAATTTTCAACTATTATGTTTATGAGGGAAGACTTGAAATATACACGTATTTGGACCATAAAATTTTAATCTTGTACTAGAAAGCTTCACATAAACATTTAAGAATAAATTTGGGGTTTTAACATAAGATTTTGGTTTTTTTATCCTAGTAAAACTAAAGATTTTACAGTAACAGAGTACAAAGCCTTCTGATACATGTATATAACAAGGACTGTGATGTTTATAGATACTGTTCCATCTACTGCTGTTCAGTGGTGGCATAAATGAATGTTATACCAGAGGATCTGTTTTCTAGAAGGGAAAGCCAAAAGAGAGAGGGGTAGATACTCTTATCAGTTTAATTAATGAACCAGCCCCTGAGACTTCAATTACAAGCAAATTTGCCATACTTTTTTTTTCTTAAGTACTGGATATTCTGCTTTTACAGTTAGTGATTGAAAAAGCCTAAATTGCTATGCCTGCTCCAGGCATCAGTCAGAAATTTATAGAGTGTTTCTGAGATTTGCTGAGACTTACTGTAGGAAGCTAAACGGGAAAGGTCAATATTGAACAGAAAAGTAGCTTTATATTTCAGTTTTGTTTTTATCTGAAAAAATAGAGAGTATTAGTACAGTTCCTTGATAAGTAAGTCTTTTGACGTTAAACAGAGTAAAGGAAAAGTTTTAAGTAAATTGCATGATAGTCTTATGGCATAGGGGGAAATTGGTGTGAAATTGGGATAATTATTTAGACTAATAATCAAGGCTTTACATGGACAGAGAAACCAAACTGTTCGTCCTACTTTCGTCATAAGTGCCTCATATATCTGTCAAATTAAAAAACAAGCTTTTAATCAATTTCAAATTATTTGATTTGGAAAGTTTTGATTTGTATCCAACTCTTTCAGAAGCCTGTCAGTTTTCTGAACTTGGAGATAGTCACTGAAGGGAGTACAAGTATGCATAGCTGCATAAAATATGCAAAAACTATGAACAAAAGAGGTGGGGTCAAAAACAAAGACAAGGATTCTGATTTTCTAACTTCTTTTACATTATGATACTTCATGGATAATATAGGATTTTAAAATGGCACAATTTGCAAAAATAGGTATATTAGGAATTTACAAGCCAAAGGGGAAATTTTAAGAATTTCATGCTTTCTTTTCCCCTTAATGTTTTCAATATCCTTGTATTACTTCAGAACATCTTTCTGGGTAAATCAGAGTGAGCAAAGGTAGTAGTCAAACAAAATTGAGAGAAGATGTTAGTAATTTTACATTTTTTTCTTTTACTTCTTCAAACCTCAGCATGTATCTTATAGTGTGTGAGTTTAGATAGATGTGTATAAATATTTCAGCCTAGAATGCTTTCTTCAACTATATCTTGATATCTTAGCATGGCTTAGTGAAAGCTTATTTTAAGATCACTAAGATGATAAATTAGTGAAAACTTAAGACATAGATGGGGGGTATAGTTAATGTTAGAGTTATGCTTGAATTAAGTATTATATTAAAATTGTGCACATTTTAGGAACTAGGATGAAACATGAAAGGGGAGGAGGGTGAAGAGTATGGTAAAAACATTTAGAGAAATTCAGTAAATTCTCTTTGTTAGAAACTAGACTTTTGAACAATTTAAAGATTATAAAATTGTTTTTTTAATAAACTAGTTATTTGCACTTTACCTGCTGGCTTTACCATTTGGTAGATAACATTCTGAACTCCAGCAGAGTTTTATAATCCCCACGTGCTTAAATATACTAAATGTTCTTTTTCCATTAAGGTTAATGTTCGTGAAGAAATTGAAGAGTTTTTTCCAAGAATGTGGAAGATAAATCAAGATAAAAGAAGGCTAATGAAAAGTATTAAAGATCAGAAAATTAAAATTGAATGGGGGAAAAAATTGAACAGAAGATTGGTCAGATAGAAGCACTTGAATATTTTTTTTAAGGCTATTTTGAATTGTTTGAATTGGGGAAGAATACACGAAGTATGAAAAATGAAAAACTCAATGAAGAATGAAGAGAAGTAGAAAGCAAGAGTGAAGTAGAATTAAAAGAATCTGGAAGAATGAATGGGTCCTAGGTTAAGTAAATGTATGGTTTATGTTCCAGTGTCTGTATGATCAAGTTGTAGATGAATTTGCATGATTACTTAGTTAATAGAGAATTGGTGATCTGGTTCAAGTAGGGAATTATTGAGGACAGTTAGCAGTATTTAACAATGGGTTATTAATGAGCTGAAATTTTTTCTGGAGGGTGTTGCCTAACCATTTGTTTTTCAGGAGCAATCAATATAAATAATTACGGTACTTTAAATGTTAGGTGTTAGGCATCTACGTGACCAGTGCCATTTGTAATACTGTCTTCTTTGTTAGGAGTCTCGCTCTCAGTCAAAATCTCCAACGGGAACTCCTGCTCGTGTAAAATCGGAGAGCAGGTCAGGATCTCGTAGTCCATCAAGGGTTTCCAAACACTCTGAATCCCATTCTCGGTCAAGATCAAAATCCAGGTACGTGTGTTTAAAATAATACTTGAAATGCTTTCCTTGGATTTTTCAGGGCAGAGTGGTTTAATCCCGCACTTTTGTTGCATTTTGCTAAGAAATTTCACCAAAGACTCAGTCATGAACTAGTTTTTCTCAAATGGGAGTGTACAAATGAATAATCTGTTCTAGAGGACTTAGGTAAGGTGTAATCATCTCCTAGCCCAATTAATCTATTGGGTACTAGCTATTAATACAAATTAAATATATGTCCATGGATTTTAATGTGCTTGGCATTTGAGGATTAGAGTTTGATTTTATTTCAACAATATTTATACAATAAAAAGGTAATTTTTTTGTATTGGAGACTTGGTGTGTAATTTATTGCAGGGAAAGTTGGTGAATATTTGTTGAACAGGTTATCGGAATGATTTGAGAAGGTTTTTCAAGGTTTGCATTCCAGCTACATCTTTTATCTGAAAATTCTGAGTTAATAGGTGGAGCTCGAGTCAGATATAATTGGGCGGGGGCGGGTTGGGGAGAATATCTGGCTGATTCAGAGCCCCTACCACTTCCATTGACAACAACAAAAAACTCTAGTGGACCACTGCAAGGGTCACTGTATCCGATGTCCCACCTGTACTAGGGTAGGAAAAAAAGGTTTAAAAACAACTTGTACCATTATTTTGAAGTGATTGTAACTTCTTGATCAGAGATCTAATTTATGTCTCTAAGGGGACATGAGACTGAAGAATCAGTTAAAAGTCTGTACTTTTCTTGAGGTCCACAGCTATGTCTTTGTCTCTGTTGTATCCAGGATCCAGCCCAGTGCTTGATATAGTAACTAGTCTATTTAATTAAATCCACATGTGCAGAAGAGCATTGGAAAGAATTTGGATGTAGAAACAGAAATGAATATATTTTCATTTTAGGACCTTTGTACGTGTTGCCCTTAGGGTAGAATTCTCTTTCCTCAGATATTCACATGTCACTTGATTCAGTTCTTTGCTCATATGTCACCTGAGAACATTAAATAGCATGGATACTCTTTACTCCCTTACTCTTAATTTTTTCCATAATATTTGTCACTATTTGATTTAGAGAAAAGGTAGACACTCCTGAAGAGTTTTAAATTAATGTCTCACTTTTCATTATTATTTAAAAGTAACAATTGATATTTTAAGTGACAGGTTTTCTTATTAATGTTTTTTATTTTTTTTTTAAACTGAGGCTGTAAATTAGTGCTAAGGAAAACGGGAAATATCCTGTTTGGTATCCTTGCTCAAACACAAGTTTTCTTCATACATAGCCCATTCTACCCCGAAAATGATTGATTACTTTTAGATAGTAGGCCACTCATTCTATCGTTTTTGTCCCCACTGAGAAGCCTTTGTTTAGGGCCGGGCCGGTGGCACAGTGGTTAAGTGTGCACGTTCCGCTTCGGCGGCCCAGGGTTCGCTGGTTTGGCTCCTGGGTGCAGACATGGCACCGCTTGGCAAGCCATGCTGTGGTAGGCGTCCCACGTATAAAGTAGGGGAAGGTGGGCACAGATGTGAGCTCAGAGCCACCCTTCCTCAGCAAAAAGGAGGATTGGCAGCAGTTAGCTCAGGGCTAATCTTCCTCAAAAAAGAAAAAAGAATTGATATACATTAAATAAAATTTTAAAAAAAAGAAGCCTTTGTTTACCTTTCTTCAATATATCTGTACTCTTAGCTTGATATTCAAAGTTTTACACAATATTGTCTCAGTCCTTTCCTAATCTTCATTCTTATTGCTTCCTTTGTAAGTATCCTAGTTCCTAGCAGATTGTACTGTTTTGCACTTCTCTAATCACATTTCCATGTCTTCTTGCCAAGGAACCTTTGCTCTTGCTAGTCCCAGAACATTTTTCTCCTGTTTCTATTAAGTCTTCCAGCTTTATTGTTAGCCTTTCTTGTCTCAATCTTCCCTCATTAATTTTATTCCCTTCACCCATGTGCTCTCTTCTTAAACTTTCTGGGCCTTAGCATTTATAACGTTTATTGAATGCCTTATAGAAGTTATTTTGCATGACTGTCATCACTGCTGGTCTAGGTGTTTAGTTAAGGGTGGGTCATGCTAATAGTAAATAAGAAATTGTTGCGTTTATAGGCAAAGAAAGAGGACTATCTGAGAGTGGAAAAACCAGAGATAGGAGATGAACTAGGGAATCGGCAGTGGAAAGATGGGTGAGATGCTGTAGAAAGCTTGAGGAAATGAAGACTGTTAGACTTAGACATGAAGACTGTTAGATTAGATGGACATTTAGGTTGTCGATGAATTAGTTTTGATGCAAGATTGCAGTGGGCTAAAGAAAGATTGGAAAGGAAATGGTACTTAACTGTGAAGGTAATATAGAACTATGTTGAGAATGGTGATAAGAATCAAAGGATTTTATTATAATGGTAGTTGGTGGTTTGTTTTGTCTTTTTTGTGGTAAGATGCACATCAGGACAAAATTTAGTCTTAACCAATTTTTTTTAATTGAGGTCACAATAGTTTATACCATTGTGAAATTTCAGCTGTACATTATTTTAATTTTTTTAAAGATTTTATTTTTCCTTTTTCTCCCAAAGCCCCCCAGTACATAGTTGTGTATTTTTAGTTGTGGGTCCTAGATGTGGCATGTGTGATGCCACCTCAGCATGGCTGTATGAGCGGTGCCATGTCCACACCCAGAACTTGAACCGCCGAAACCCTGGGCCGCTGAAACGGAGCACGAAAACTTAACCACTCAGCCACGGGGCTGGCCCCCTCAGGTGTACATTATTATTTGTCAGTCACCATATAAATGTGCCCCTTCACTCCTTGTGCCCACCACCCAACCCCCTCCCCCTTCTTTGTCCATGTGTTTATCTTCCACATATGAGTGAAATCATACGATGTTTATCTTTCTTTGTCTGACTTATTTTGCTTAACATGATACCCTCAAAGTCCATCCATATTGTTGCGAATGGCACAATTTTGTCCTTTTTTTTTCTTATGGCTGAGTAGTATTCCATTGTGTGTGTGTGTATGTGTGTGTATACACACACACATACACACACACACATCTTCCTTATCCAATCATCAGTTGATGGGCACTTGGGTTGCTTCCACATCTTGGCTATTTTGAATAATGCTGCAGTGAACATAGAGGTGCATAAGTTTCTTTGTGTTGTTGATTTCAGGTTCTTTGGGATACCTGGGTCATAGGGTATTTCTGTTTTTAATTTTTTGAGAAATCTCCATGCTGTTTTCCATAGTTTGCATTCCCACCAACAGTGTATGAGGGTTCCCTTTTCTCCACAATGTCTCTAGCGTTTGTTATTTTTTGTCTTGGTGATTATATCCCTTCTAATAGGTGTAAGGTGATACCTAAGTGTAGTTTTGATTTGCATTTCCCTGATGATTAGTGATGTTGAACATCTTTTCATGTGCCTTTTGGCCATCTGTATATGTTCTTTGGAAAATTGTCCCTTCATATTCTCTGCCCACTTTTTGATCGGGTTGTTTGTTGTTCAGTTGTGTGGTTCTTTATATGTTATGGAGATTAACCCCTTGTCAGATATATGATTTGCAAGTATTTTCTCCCTGTTGGTGGGTTGTCTTTTCGTTTTGATCCTAGTTTCCTTTGCTTTGCAGAAGCTCTTTAGTTTGATGAAGTCCCACTTGTTTATTTTTTCTTTTGTTTCCCTTGTCCGAGTAGACGTGTTATTTGAAAAGATCCTTTTAAGACCAATGTCAAAGAGTGTGCTGTAGGGGCCAGCCCTGTGGCCGAGTGGTTAAGTTCACACGCTCCGCTGCAGCAGCCCAGGGTTTCGCTGGTTCGGATCCTGGGCATGGACATGGCACTGCTCATCAGGCAACACTGAGGCGGCATCCCACATGCCACAACTAAAAATACACAACTATGTACCAGGGGGCTTTTAGAGAAAAAGGAAAAATGAAATCTTAAAAAAAAAAATTGTGCTGCTGATATTTTCTTGTAGAAGTTCTATGGTGTCAGGTCTTACCTTCAAGTTTTTGATCCATTTTGAGTTGATTTTTGTGTACGGCCAAAGATGATGGTCTACTTTCATTCTTTTGCCTGTGGCTGTCCAGTTTTCCCAGCACCATTTGTTGAAGAGACTTTCCTTTCTCCATTGTATGTTCTTGGCTCCCTTTGTCGAAGATAGCTGTCTGTAGATGTGTGGTTTTATTTCTAGGTTTTCACTTCTGTTCCAAGGATCTGTGTGCTTGTTTGTGTACTAGTAACATGCTGTTTTAATTACTATGGCTTTGTAGTATATTTTGAAGTCAGGGATCATGATGCCTCCAGCTTAGTTCTTTTTTTCTCAGGATTGCTTTAGCTGTTTGGGGTCTTTTGTTGCCCCATATGAATTTTAGGATTCTTTGTTCTACTTCCATGAAGAATGTCATTTGGATTCTGGTTGGGATTGCATTGAATCTGTAGATTGCTTTAGGTAGTATGGACATTTTAACTATGTTTATTCTTCCAATCCATGTGCATGGAAGATCTTTCCATTTCTTTATGTCATTATCAATTTCTTTCGGTAATGTCTTATAGTTTTCATTGTATAGGTCTTTCACCTCCTTGGTCAAATTTATTCCTAGGTATTTTATTCTTTTTGTTTCAGTTGTAAATGGGGTTGTCTTCTTGAGTTCTCTTTCTGTTAGTTTGTTGTTGGAATATAGAAATGCAACTGATTTTTCTAAGTTGATTTTATACCCTGCAACTTTGCTGCAGTTGTTGATTATTTCTGATAGTTTTCCAGTGGATTCTTCACAGTTTTCTATGTATAAAATCATGTCATCTGCAAACAGCAAGAGTTTCACTTCTTTGTTGCCTGTTTGGAGTCCTTTTATTTTTTTTTCTTGTTTAATTGCTCTGGCCCAAACCACCAGTACTATGTCAAATGAGAGTGGTGAGAGTGAGCACTCTCGTCTTGTTCCTGTTCTCAGAGAGATGGCTTTCAGTTTTTCCCCCTTGAATAGGATGTTGGCTATGAGTTTGTCATATATGGCCTTTATTATGTTGAGGTACTTACCATATATACCCATTTTATTGAGAGTTTCTGATCATAAATGGATGTTGGATCTTATCAAATGGTTTCTCTGTGTCTATTGAGATTATCGTGTGGTTTTTGTTCCTTATTTTGTTAATCTGGTGTATCACATTGATTGATTTGCAGATGTTGAACCATCCCTGTGTCCCTGGTATAAATCCCACTTGATCGTGGTGTATGATCTTTTTAATGTATTGCTGTATTCGGTTTGCCAATATTTTGTTGAGGATTTTTGTATGTATGTTCATCAGCAATATTGGCCTGTAATTTTCCTTTGTGGGTCTTAACCATTTTTAAGTGTACAGTTCAGCAGCATTAAGTACATTTACATTGTTGTGCAACAGTCACCACCATCCATCCCCGTAACTTTTTATCTTGTAAAACTGAAATTATACCCATTAAATAATGACTCCCCATTCTCTACTCCTTCCAGCTCCTGGCAACTACCATTTTACTTTCTGTCTCTGATTTTGACTACTCTAAGTACTTCATATAAGTGGAATCATACAGTGTTTGTCTTTTTTGTGACTGGCTTATTTCACTTAGTATAATATCCTCAAGGTTCATCCATGTTGTAGAATATTACAGAATTTCCTTACTAGTGGTAGTTTTTTTTTTTCCCGTTTTGAAGAAAGTAGAGCCTTAACATGCTTGTAAAGTAAGGTGAAAAGAGTGAATGTAGAAGGGATAGGCTGAGAATGAAGAGGAGATTGTAGTGATTAAGAGAACAACAGGAAGAATACCTTTTCCTCAGAAAGGAGAAAGGAGCTGAGAATAAGCTGGGATATATGTATACGGATCCTTAGAGGTAGCCATTTTGTTTGAGTATTTTTATCTAAATTTATTTCTTTCAAAGGTCGAGGTCAAGAAGGCATTCTCATAGACGTTACACTCGATCCAGATCCCATTCTCACTCTCATAGGAGACGATCTCGAAGTAGGTCATATACACCAGAATACCGGCGTCGAAGGAGCCGAAGTCATTCTCCAATGTCTAACCGGAGAAGACATACAGGCAGCAGGGTATGTGGTTTCTAAAATTTAATGAAAACTTATTTTGTCCTCCTGTGTATTTAGTCATAGCATAATAGCTTGCTTTTATGAGAGCTAGACTGCTGTTTGAAAGTGGTACTCCAGAAACAACATCCTTGAGTGTATGAATATTGATTATATACATTTAGGTATATTTTCTTTTCTTGACTTGAATATTTAAGAGGTGAAGTTTGGGAAGAAGTGATATGTTCCAGGAATTAAAATGAAAAGCATAAACTGAATTGAAACTATTGAGATAAGGAAAAAGGCAAGGAAATACCAAAAACTCTGTAGTAGTAATAATGGCTAACACTTATGTTGAACACCATGCAAAGTTCTTCAATATATTTAATACTTTTAACATCTCTGTGAGGCAAGTTACCATGTTATGGATAAGGAAATTGAGTCTTGGGTATGTGACATTGAGGTGGGTTTATTTTTTGGCTAACTGGAATAGCCCAGGTTTCAACCAGGCTACTTAACTCTTAACGGTCCTGTGCTTAACTGCTGTGCTCTGCTTCTCCCATGTGACACTGAATCATTTAACTGTGATGGAGTCTGCTGTTATTTAATGATGTTTTGAAATCTATTCATTTATTTTTCAAATCTGCATCGTGGGAACATTGCAAGAATATCCTTGCTAAAGAATGAAAATGGAGGAGGAGAGTCTAATCAGCAATTACAGACAAAGTCAAATTAAGTACAAATCTATAAGGGATGTAAAGCATTTGAATAAACTAGAAATATGGCATTAAACTAAGGGTGAATTCTTAGGATGTATTCTGAAAATTGCTGGGCTAGAGAGTAAGGATGTTTTTTATTTGGGCCGCAACATCAAGTATATTCCAAAGAAGGCCTGAGTGTACTGTGAACTATAAAGTGTGGCTCATCTAGTTTTCACCCTCTTAAGTTCTTATTTCCAAGTGACTTGAAACAATATAGTGTATTGGGTGAGATGTTCTAAGCAAAATATTTCTCCGTCTTAATTTTTATTTTAATTTGGAGCTTAACATTAAATGTCATCTTTATTCAATAGGCAAATCCAGATCCCAACACTTGTCTTGGAGTGTTTGGCCTCAGTTTGTACACAACAGAGAGAGATCTTCGTGAAGTATTTTCTCGGTATGGACCATTGAGTGGCGTCAATGTTGTTTATGATCAGCGAACTGGACGATCACGAGGATTTGCCTTTGTTTATTTTGAGAGAATAGATGACTCAAAGGAGGTAATTTTGTTTTTGTAATTATTTGTCAATTTGATGATTATAGTATTGAGTTACTATTAAAGGTTGATTAATAGACTCCCAGTTCCATAAACATTATGTCTGCTTTCATTCTCTGACCTGATTCAAACTCTGCTTCTCTGAGTTACACTTGGAATAGCCAGTTTCTCTTTCCAGTTAATACTCTCTGGTATAGCCATATCCTGATTGAAATCTGCCCTTGTAAAGAGAGCAATACGTGTTTGAGTAAATGGAAAAAGTAAAATATTTAAGTGTTCTCTTTTGAATAAGCCTTATTCATGCTCCAAGCAGATGATTAAAATGACTTTTTAGAATTATTTAGTGTTTAGATTTAATCTGTTTAATTTTGTAATTGTCTAATTAGCTCCCCGTGTATAGATAACAGAGCTTTGTTTTTCTGTTCTCTTAATACTCATCTGTTGTTCTGTTCTATAATTGAAAAATAACACATGGAAGGAATTGTTACTTCTTCATTTTTGTGTAGTGCCATCCTTAATTTGCCTAACAGAGTGATCCTAATTAATGTTAATGATTAGAAATAGTGCTCTTCTAATGTATTAGGTATTGAATTATAAAGGAAGCAGTAGGCTTGCTTTCTCTGTACTAAAAGTTCATAGTGATTGAGTTAGAAAATTCCGTTTTAAGAAATTTGAAGCTGATTATTAAAGTTTTATCAAAGCTTAGTAAGTGCCATGTACTGGCATGTCTTTTGTATCATTTTGCATGTGACAGGTCATTATCGCTCTATGCATCAGCAGTGTTTGATTGCAACATAAGCAGTCATAATAAAAGCGTATCTTTAAAAAATAATAGATGCTATTGGCATCTGATGGATGGAGGCCAGTGATGATACTACACATCCTACAGTGCACAGAATAGCTACCCACAACATAGAATTAGCAGTTACGTAATGTCGTAGTGCTGAGGTTGAAAAATGCCAGATAATTCTAACAAAATAATGCTCCAGCTTGTAAGTCATTTTGTAGTAGACATTCTGATAGGCACTCTAATGGTTTAATTTGTCAGTACTATGATTTTTTTTTTTTACTGTTAGATACTGTGATTTGTTTATTCCTTTTCTCAATTAAGGGATAAATGTGTAAATTTAGAAATACCAGCATATCCGCTCTGAAGTGAAAATGCAACCAACATGACAAATTTATTTTTAAGAGGCCAGCCCAGTGGTATAGTGATTGTTTGCGGGCTCTGCTTCAACAGCCCAGGGTTCGCAGGTTTGGATCTTGGGTGCGGACCTGCACACCACTCATCAAGCCATGCTGTGATGGCGTCCCACATACGAAATAGAGGAGGATTGGCACAGATGTTAGCTGAGCGCTAATCTTCCTCACCAAAAAAAATAAATAAAAAATGAAACTAATTTGCCCTATCTGTTACCTGCCCCCCCTTCAGGTTTATTTCTTGATAAAGTTAAATGAAAATCACAACTTTACTTAGTTCCAAAGAACTTCTTGCAAATTTGTTAAAATGATTGAATTATTATTGCATTTATTGGTATTAGTGCCAAAGGGCAAAGTGATAGGGAATGTGAGCGCAGGTATAAAGACAGGAGCACTTGTTGGCAAGTTTAGAAGTTCCTTGATGTTTGGAAGTTCACTAGGTGGCAGTGTATTACCTCAGGAACAAGACTAGTTTAGAATTGTCAGCTGAATTGTAATTTCTGCTTTGAGTTGCCGAGACTGAAACTATGACTACAGCCTCAGAGTTATGCAGACTTCCCTGAGTTGTGTGGTTCCTTCTCTATGGCTGTAGCTGCCTCCAGTCTTTGAGCACAGGCCTGCTTAAGTGTCCGTGTGTACCTTAGCAAAGTCGATACTATTGACGTGCATGTAGCAAGGATTACTATGTAAAATCTTAGCCCCTGGTGATGGAGAAAGAAGTGGTTAGAGAATTTTCATTTTTGAAATTTCAAATGGAAAATATGTTAAATTTGTTGCAGTTTTGGTAGTTTCTCCCTGATGAATCATGCATGACTCTGTGCCTGTTCTGCTTTAAAGGCTATGGAAAGGGCAAATGGAATGGAGCTGGACGGTAGAAGAATTCGTGTGGATTATTCTATTACCAAGAGGGCACACACACCTACACCAGGCATCTACATGGGCAGACCAACTCAGTAAGATTTCAAGTTTCCTAAGCTCTACTGTAAGAGCCAGAAATCTACTCAAAATGTGTGCAAAATTTTGATTAATCAAAAGATAAAATTTTTTCTCCTGTAATAAGAATTGAAAGTTACTTAATTTGTATATATTCTTTGAATCAAGGGTACAAAATAAAACTGTCGAAGTACATTCCTGGCTCTTGGTACTTATACAAACAGGAGATTATTAAGTACTAGAAAAATATCACATGCTTTTTAAATATTATCTATTATGTGACCTTGGAAGCCTCTGTGTACGAGGAAGGGTTTTACTGATGTTAGTGTTTGTTTAAAAAAAAAAAAAAAGCCAGTCTTGCCAGTTTTCACATTGTGTAGAACATAAATGGGGGCTTTTATAAAGTTTTTTTAAATGTAATACAACCAAAGACAGTATTTACTTCTTAAGAGGGAAAGAAGGACTATAGGCTTTCATTTAATTTGAAACCTTCCTGGGGGAAATGTAGGATTTGGCAAGGAGAGCATACAGAACACTAAAGTGAAAATAGTGTCCCTATGATTAAGAGTTGGGAAAACAGCAGAAGAAAGAGCTTTGAGTTTAAATTCACTGCCAAAGGTTTAAATACCAGACCATGGTTTTAGTGCTGAACCTCAGTATAAGGTAGTCACTTCTCTGGCGTTCAGGCTTGGTTACTTTTTTATTCTGGGTGTGTATTAATTGCATTGGAATTAGTCATAAGGACGCATATCTTAGCTTTGGTACCCTTTCCCAGCACGCTGCTGCATTTCACCTTGAAAAGGTCCTGCTGATTTGGGTAGCGCATTCATAGAAAAGCAGTTTGTAGTTCGGACAGTTTTTGTGAAATCATTCCTGCTTATTTATGTAATGAATAGGAAGCTAAAGCAGAACACCATGGGAGTCAGCAAAATGAGAGATGGAGGTAATAGTCGTGAAAAGGGTTATTCTTTCTCTCTTATCTCCCTTCCTTCCTCCATTTTATTTTAAGTACCAATTGTATTAAATGATAGTGGTGGAAAATAATCATTTGCATTGATACAAAGTTTTTACATTTTTCTGTAGTAGTGGTGGTGGCGGTGGCGGAGGCGGTGGTGGAGGTGGAGGAGGTGGCAGACGTCGAGATTCTTACTATGATAGAGGATATGACCGTGGGTATGACAGATATGAAGACTATGATTACCGGTACAGGTAATGTTTTAACTTGTGATTTCTGTTCTAAATTAATTAGTAGTATTATTTGGCACATTTAATTTATGTTTGATACGTATTAATAAAAATAGTAAAAAATAGACTATGATGCTTTCTTGAGAATGTACGAAAAAAATATTTTCTCAAAACTAATAACAGAGGTTAATTATCTGTATTTGCCAATATTTTGCTGTGCCATATGTTTACTATTCTGGTGTCGTTTGACACAGAGAACTTAGTAGTTATCATCTTGAGTCCATTATTATTTTGAGTGACGGGGTATTTTTATTTTCATCTGCCTCAGTGGAGTGACGATGTGGTATACTAAAGAATTTTTTTTTCTACAGAAGAAGATCACCTTCTCCTTACTATAGTCGATACAGATCACGATCAAGATCTCGTTCCTACAGCCCAAGTATGTACACTTGCTTTCGTAGCATTAAGAACCTCATTTCTAATTAATGGTTTATTTTAGAAAATTAGGGTATATGGTAGCTGTTAAAATAGTTGGAAAAGTATTAGGCAAGTCACACTATATGTCATTTTGACTTTTTTTTTTGGCCTTCTTTTTCAGGACGCTATTGATAAACCAGAATGTTTGCAGCTAAGGACATCTTTTTCTCTTTCTCTTTTTTTGTTTAATTCTGGATTTCCCCAAGCTTCCAATCCTTCGTAGTCCTTTAAAAGAACCCTTAAAAAAATCTTTGGTTTATTTAGCATCTACACTTTGTCAGTTGTATTGCTGTTTTCCACCCCTTTATTATACTCCTAAAGATGTGATTGTTGTCATTTTGAGTAGTTAAACATCTTGAGTGAAAAAGGAACCCTCAGTGTTAATGCTTTGTAAATGATTTTTCTTTGCTTTTACAGAAAATTAACTCCTGGCTAATCAAATGAAGAAAGAAATGATCTTTTAAAAGGTTCTTTTGTGTTAAATATTGTGTTAGACATTGTATTAGAGATCTGCATTTACAACAAGCTCCTTTTTTTCAACTTTATTTTGGAGAAGATAGTAACACACAAAGTAGTTCAGTCATGTCGTTTGTCTGGGGTGGCATGGAGCAAGTAGTGTAGAAAGTTTGAAGCTATAGAAGAAATCACTTGGTCATTTCTTTGGAAGAACGGAATTTTTGAACCCTAAAAATTACGTCGTCTTTTAGAAATGAAAAGCTCGTGGACTCCTACAAAACATGTTGTATTTAAAATACATCTGTTAAAACTTACAAACTTAAAGTGTGATTTTTGTGTTGAATTTATTGAAGTTTAAGTATTCCTTTAATCAGTGAAGGACAGCCCTTATTTATTACTTTGAGCAATTGTATACTTTGCTGTTAGAAATTTTGGTATTGGGACAGTGGTTAAGCAGACAATGTATAGTACAGAGTCCTTAGAAGATACGTATGGGAAAGTCGTCTTTCAAATAAAAGTTAATTTCTTTGAAAATGGGATTCTCTTTATTGTGGTACAATGAGAAAATATAACTGGATTGATTTAGGCACCAATCCTTTTTCCTAACATTTTTGCTGACTCCTGAATGTATAATCTTTGTCTCTTCTTCACTCTTTAAAAACCCTTGTTTTTCTTCCTTCCTCTTTTTTGTAAACCAAGTTGTAAATATTAAGAGTGTTCAGTACCAAGCACCTTGCTGAAGGAAAGGTAAGTAATATGGTTTGTGTCTTCAAGAAGCCCACATTCTAGTAGGAAACACACTTAAACAACTGTAAAGCCAGGTATTAAAAGACTGGGAATCACTGCCCTAAAGAGAACATTAATCTGTTGACTATAGGAGTACTTTCGTTGACAAGCTGCTTATATCTTTAAAGTGAAAACATTAGCCACAATCTGGAAGAGAATTAATTTCCCTATGAAGAGACAGTAAACATAATTAAAAACATATTACGTGTGTGTTAATGGAGCAGGGAAGGAGAGTAGGGGAATAAGGGGGGGATACAGGTTTAAAGAAGGCAGTCTGAAGGCTTTCTTGAGGGCATGAAATTTGAGTAAAATCTTAAGGTGAGAAAGGGAGCCTTGTAGATATCTGGGAGAAGAGTATGTTGGATATAGGGAATAGCAAATGTAATGGCCTTAAGGCAGCAGCATACCTGGACTGTTGAAGAAGGGAGGCTGGAGAGGACAAAGATAATAACCAAGGACTGGGCATAGCTGGGGAGAGGAAGGAGTTGGGAGGTGTGGTTTCAACAATGAAGAGGCAAGTTCTTTTAACAGAAAAGGGAACTCCTGTCAGAAGTAGTGGTTGTATGGGTGTAACGTTATGTATATATGGATAGACACTGGGCTTAAAGACTAGATGTGTTAGATTGCATTAATATGTGATATAGAAATAAAAATTTGGATATTTCTGGGCCTCTTCTGTATGGAACCACAAAAGACTCTGAATAGCCAAAGCAGTCTTGAGAAAAACAAAGCTGGAGCCATCACACTTCCTGATTTCAAACTATATTACAAAACTTCAGTAATTAAAACAATGTGATATTTGCAGAAAAACTGACACAGATCAGTGGAACAGAATTGAGAGCCCTGAAGTAAACCCAGAAATATATGGTCAATTTGCGACGAAGGAGCCAAGAATATAACATGGGTAAAGGACAGCCTCTTCCATAATGGTGGTGGGAAAACTAGATAACCCCATGGAAAAGAATGAAACTCGACCACTGTCTTGTGACCACACATATAAATTAACTCAAAATGGATTAAAGACTGAAACCATAAAACTAGAGGAAAACATAGGTGGTAAGCTCCTTGACATAGGAGCACAGCAAAGGAAGCCAACAATGAAAAGGCAACGTACTGAATGGGAGAAAATGCTTGCAAATCATATCTCATAAGGGGCTAATATCCAAAATATGTAAAGAACTCACAACAGCAAAAAAAATTTAAATATGGGCAGAAGATATGAATAGACATTTTTCCAAAGAAGACATGCACGTGGCCAGCAGGTAAATGCAAACATCATTAATGCTCAGGGAAATGCAAACCAAAACCATAATGAGGTATCACCTCACTTGTTAGAATGGCTGTTATCAAAAACACAAGAAGTAAGTGTTGAAGATGTGGAGAAAAGGGAACCATTGTGCACTGTTGATGGGAATGTAAATTAGTACAGCCACTATAGAAATCAGTATGGAGGTTCCTCAAAAAATTAAAAATAGAACTACCCTATCATCCAGCAATTCCACTTCTGGGTATTTATCCCAAGAAAACAACACTAGAAAAGATGTATGCATCCTTGTGTTCATTGCGGCATTATTTACAGCAGCCAAGATCTTAATGGATAAAGAGGTTGTGGAATATTTTTTTTTTTAAGATTTTACTTTTTCCTCTTTCTCCTCAAAGCCCCCTGTACATAGTTGTATATTCTTCATTGTGGGTCGTTCTAGTTGTGGCATGTGGGACGCTGCCTCAGCATGGTTTGATGAGCAGTGCCATGTCCGCGCCCAGGATTCGAACCAACGAAACACTGGGCCGCCTGCAGCGGAGCGTGCGAACTTAACCACTCGGCCACGGGGCAAGCCCTGTGGAATATTTTTCAGCCATAAAAAAATGAGATTTTGCCATTTGCAGCAACATAGATGAACCTCAAAGGCATCATGCTAAGTGAAATAAGTCAGAGAAAGACAAATACTGTATGATCTCTCTTGTATGGAATCTCAAAACAAAAGCCAAGTTCATAGATAAAGAGAACAGATTAGTAGTGGCTGGGGGGATGGGGTCAACAACAACAAAAAAGCAATTAAAAGGTTAACAAGAAACAATTGCTGAATCTGGCTAATGAGTATACAAGAATTTCCATGTACTATTTTCTGAAAGTTTGGAGTTATATTTAAAAAACTAAAAATGTAACTCAGTTAACATTGATGTTTGCTTCCTACAGGTTTACAGGCAGCATTATCTCATAATTTTAAAGTCCTATAAAATAGATACTGTTGCCGTTTTACAGCTATAGAGGTTATGCAAACTTTCCTTAGGGTCACCTAGCTGAGTGGAGAAGAAAAGTTGAGGTATTTCTGGGCCTTTTCACTTCTGTTACTTATAGAAATATCTAAGACAATTTTTTCAACTCACTGAACGGTAAGAAAAACTCTTAGTTTGGTTCCTAAATTACTTAATCTTACTTGGCTTATGGCCCTCTTAAAAATGAAAAAAACCTACAACCTGTCGTTCTAGGAAAAGTGCACATACAAAACAATGTTTGTATACAAATACTTGGTTTTTAAGTTATTTTGTGCAAAGAATAAGATCTATAAGAATATACACCAGTTTCCTAATGGTGATCAGTTACACTGTGAAGTAGTAGTCTGGAGAGAGGAGTTGAGAGGAATTTGCAGAAAACTAGTAGAACAGTTTTACATACAAATTCAGGGACATTGCTGCCTCTTAGGTTAAAAGCTCCTGTCATATAGACATTCCCCATGGATTCAAGAAGAATTGTCTTCCCTTACTGCTTGTCTTTTAGGATATCATCACTTAGAATATTTGAATTTCATAGCATCTTGAGAAATAGGGAGCACAAACATACATTACTTCATTGTGGCAATTAAAAGTTTATTTGTAATGTAAAGTCAAGGCTTATTTTTTCAAAATATGTCCACCCCTGATGTCAAACTTAATGCTTTGGGAGTATGAATTTTCTTTTTCCCACCCAACTAATTTGAAATTAAGTGGATTGAATGGTCAAAATCACTGCATTATGTATTATATGAAATTTACATTAAAAAGTAAGAGGAGAGATATACTATTGATGGGGAATGATGAATACAGAAAACAAGACAGGTCTAAGTAACTTAGAAGAAAGCAAACACACAAATGGAATAACAGGCTTTGCCAATTTAAGCTCCCACCAACAGTATATGAGAAGGAGGTCTTGAAACAACAGGTGTTGGGATTTTACTGAGGGAAAATAAGCTGCTATACTGTGAATTATTTACACCACAAAATTATTTCAAAATTAGGGTGCCAATTTTCAAAAACAATATGAAGGGATAAAAAGAGCTAATGGAACTAAGAGAAAAAAGTAAGACTACATGACATCCATACAAAAAATGCATACTCTGGAATCTGTACTTTCAGTGATCACTGATTCTGCACTAGTAATTGACCCCAAAAAGGTTATCCCTGGAGAAACCCATGCATATGATCATAAGGTTAAAAAGATAACAGTTGCTTAGTCCTCAGGATAGTGTGATGTGCAATCCAGGTATGTATCTCTGAGGGTAAATTCATCCAGGAATAGATTTTCATGGTGTAATTTTCAGACTTCTCTGCTACAAATATTGCTACTTTGTGTGTAAATTTGAAAGGATACTCCCTTGATGCAGGGAATGTAACTGGCAATATGCTTTAACGAGTTGGGAATAAAATTGAAAAACGTGAAAATGGAGACTATCACAGATGGCCTAAATAGACTGCCCTACTCTCTCCTCAGGTGGGCATGACACATGGGTAATTGAGGTGCCACAGTTTTGGAACATAGATTGTAGCTCCAATCACGTTAATTTGGAAAATTAAAAGTACATATAGAGGGGAGAATAGGGAGTTAGTGTTTATTTTGTGTAGGGTTTCAGTTGGAGAAGACAAAGTTGGAGATATATAGTGGTGATGGTTGCATAATGTGAATGTACTTAATGCCATAGATCTGTTCACTTATAAATGGTAAGTTTTATGTATAGTTAACCACACACACAAAAAGGACATGTTAGCAAAAAACACAAAACTCCCTAAAATAAAGTGCTGCACGTATCTAACTTGATACTATTTCTGATGTATCCTGCAATTTGAAAGTTACAAAATGCTTAGGTAACTAACAGGTAACTTGCTTTGTGACTGCTACATTGTTGGTGCTTGGAACATGGAGTTCTAGGCATGGAGTACGTGTCCAGTAAGTATTTGTATTCATGAATGAGTGAGTGAGTGAGGATAGTAACGTGGGGAAATGATTGGTAGGGCCCGTTAAATTGTGAAATTCCCAATCAGAAAGTTCCATCAAGTTAAACTAATTTAAAGTGCTGAAGTATAAAAAGAGTATGAATCTAGGCTGAAAATAGAGTCAATCATGTAAACCCAAAAAAAGGGTTAATCACTTTAAAGAAGCCAGACACAAAGGGTCACATATTGTAGGATTCCATTTACATGAAATATCCAGGATTGGCAAATCCACAGAGACAGAAAATAGATTAGTGGTTGCGAGGGGCTGCAGGAGGTAGGAATGGGGAGTGACTGCTTATGGGTACTGGTTTCCTTTCAGAGTAATGAAAATGTTTTGGACCTAGATAAAGGTGATGCTTGCACAACATTGTGAATGTACCTAATACCACTGGATTGTACACTTTAAAATGGTTAATTTTGTATGAACTTTACCTCAATATAAATATAGTCTTTTAAAAAATCACTTTTAATATAAATCTCTTTAATAAAGGAAGAGACAT